TTACTTAATTATAAATCTCTCTTTTTTTTTAATGGAGTACTGACTGAATGAACAAAATTCAGGTAGAGTCTCATAATAGATACAGAATAGCTTTTGCAGAAGGAAAGCATATAGTATTTAACTTTCTTATGTGATTTTCTTATGTGCTTCAACTTCGGAAACATTAGTTGTATTACTGCAAAAATTTTCTAGTGTTTCTGAACATTTGTTAGAAGATTATTTAATTTTAATTAAAAATTTATTAATTTTTTAATAAAAAAATAACTAACAGAAATTTAATAAAAAAAATAACTACAGGTTCATGGATAGCATTATTTTTCAGTGAGACTTAATCATGAAAGATAGGAAAGAATAATATACGTTCAGCCTACGTATTGTTTTTTTTTTTTTTTTTTAATTTCAAAATTATAATTACACTGATGATTAACAAACTCAAGTAGATCTATCATACCAGTTTCGAAAAATTTATCAAACTATTTGAAATGAATGGTTACTGGTTATTTGAAAATGTCAAAGCACATGAGAGCTTTCTAACTAAAGAGGCTATCACTTCTAGGAACGCACGGCTATGCGGGACAATTATGAGAAAAGAGATTCTAGTAGCACTGCTTTAAGTGGGAGGCTTCCAAGAAATGTTTCGTCTAGGTAAGAGCAACATGTCCCAGCTGTGAGCGACATTTTGAAACTTTCCCGAAAATGTTCCATCTGGAGACGTGTTCCTCGTATGTTCAACCAATCGGAAGAAAGTTCTGCATCTGAAGGATCACAGGAAACATTTAATATGGTGATGGCTCTCACTGTGAAGTCATGGAGAGTGGAAATAGAGGCCGATTTAATTATTGCTGTTTTGTTGTAATATAACTGCTCGAGTCATTTTAAAAATGTTTACATATTCATTAAGAATATAATCGTGGAAATTTAAGAGTTGGCAATATTTTACGACATTCTTGCAGTTCGGATTTGTTTACAAATTGTTCGTCGCCAAAGTTCACCAAATTTGTCATATTTCATGCTGATCATGTATTATCACTGTTATATAAATAGAATTTTATTTCTTAAATTTAAGTTGAATATTTTTTTTAATCCGTTTGTATATGTGCAGCTTTTCTTCTAATTACTTACCTTTTAAATTGTTAATTGCATAATCAGTGACACATTTTAAACAAAATAAAAGATGCATAACAAAAGAAAAGCATAGTTTATGTAATAATGAGAATACTCATTAAATTTGCCTATTATTTTCATGTTATTAATGAAATACTTTTGGATTATAAATACATTAGAAACTATACTTTTATTGTAAATGCTACATATTGAAACATTAGAATTTTATCGATTTATTATTATAAATGACAAAAAACATTTGTATATACATTCATTAATATAAATCTTATTCATTATATTAACACTAATAAATATACAGCAACAACTTCTAAACCATCGCATCTCTCTATCTGTATGTAAATATATGACTTATTAGATGTGTATATATATGAATACAAAACAAACATTGCCAAAAAGTTTATTTGAAGTTACTTCTAATTCATATAACGATCATGTAATTGGCAGCAACTGTAGTCATCAGTTCTTTGCAAATTATTATGGATATGTAATAATCAGTTGAAAAATAATTGATGAGCATTTGAGTACTAAAGACTGTACATATTTTGTTTTTGGGTTAATTCATAATTATATTACATGTATGATCTACGTAATATAAACATGACTAATAAATAATAAGAAATGTAATAGCTGTGCATTTATAACATTTGATTACTTAAAACAGTGCACAATTGATTATCACTTTCATGTGTGTTTACATAATGAATTGTACTTTCCAATTATGTGCACAGACCTACTAGTGGCCGAAGTGTCACTGAACACTGATAGTTCTGTCTGAGGTTAGAATGCCGCGAACGGGCTGGCTACATGGGCATTTTCTTGGTTTTCACCATTTGTAACTGGTATACGAGCCAGTTTTAAAAAATGTTCTATAAAGGGATCCCTCCTGTTAGGCAGATATCCTTCGAGGCTTTGCCGTAATCACATAAAAAACTCATGATGTGCACCTCCTAATTTCTAGAGTTGGTATAATTAATGTGTTTTCGGTATATTATATTCGGTTCTATGGGACAGTAAACAACTTGCATATGTTTGATTGCTCATGTATTATACTTTATTTAATCTTCATTTTGCTGAATAGTATCTGCTGGCTGTGAGGGTGTAAATATCAGCCATATAGATTTTTGTCATATAAGATCTTTTTTCTTTAATTTTAATTTTAATTTATTTTTATTATGTGTCTGTTTGTTTGTTTATATTTAGGGACAGAACAGTAATTATGAGCCATAAAGTTAGTCAAGAAAATACTTTTCACCAGGTCACAAATTTTCCAGTGAGGCATCAAATTTTCATTGGAATGCAGACATCAGAAAATACACATAAGTAATGTCTGATAAATAGACTTATCCAGCACACGTTTTAAACTAGTCTTAGAATACAGAATTTGGCTATTACTGATGTAATTTATTGCTATAACCAGAAGAGTGTTTATCTGTTACTTGAAGTGCTCAGAGTGGAGATCAAAGTGATTAACTTGATAACAATCATCTTTCTATTATCTTCCATAACTAACAATAAAGTTTGAAACAAAAAGAGTGTGAGCGATACAAAACAACATGAAGAAGAAAACTTCACTTGAAAGGAAACGTCACTTTTGCCAATCTGAGTGATAACTGATTCTTGTTTGACTTTTAGCCTGTTTACCAAGTGAAGATGGTAACTCGATTTCGCAGATTTAAGAGCAATTCTCAGAACTGTTCCGGCAACAAATATTGTATGTGATAAGAGCATAACTAACAGGATATCTTCAGGGAGCATTTTCTCGGGGAACTGGTTCATATTCAGGTTAGGCAAGGGGAAAACCACAAAAAACGAATATGCAACTAGCCTGTTCGCCTGAGTCTGAACCCCAAACTACCAGCATTCTTTAACCACTTGACCACTGGTTGAAATGTATCATAACTACTTCTGCCAATAAAATCACATAGTATATAAGTATAAGTCATCTGACAAAAGACATGTTTCATTTAAAAATATATAACATAAATGTTAAATGTAAAAAATTTTATGTTTCATGTTATTTCAAAATTTGATTATTTAAATAGTTATCTCATATTTTACATAGTGACATATAAACTTTTAAGTCTGCATCATTAAAAAGATAACTATGCAGGAAGTCAATTAATTATGCAGAATTTCCGGCACTAACAATAACATTAATTATGCAGAATTTCCGGCACTAAAAATGGCACTAAATTAGTGAATTTATTTTCATGGATAGGTTTTGCACATGATTTACTTATGCTTCTGAATTTAAATGATATTGTAGATTATTTCTAGAATTAAATCTTTTATATGTTTGCACATTTAAAAAATTATTTTGCCTTTTTTTCTTTTTTTAGGCTTTAAATTTGCTTTTTTACTTTTATATGTGTTTGTTAAAATTTAAATTTAAATTTGTTTAAATTTCATTCCTTGCAGCAATGGTGCAAAGAACATTTAATTAAATTTATATTTAAATTTAATTTTTTTAATTATAATTAAATTTTTTATGAAACAGTAGCTATTATATATATATATATTTAAATTTAAAATTTAAACAAATTTAAATTCTAAACAAATACGTATAAAAAGTAAAAAAGTAGAAAATCAAATTTAAATTCTAAAAAAAGGAAAAAAGCCAAATAATTTAAAATAATTTAAAATATGCAAACATGTACAGATTTAATTCTCGAACTAATCTACAATATCATTTAAATTCAGAAGCATAAGCAAATCAAGTGTAAAATCTATCCATGAAAATAAATCTACTAATTTAATAAATTAAAATTAAATTAAACAATTTTTTTAAAAAATGCATATGTGAATGATCGTAGAGTAGGCAGGAGACAGACTTATCAAGGGGAAGTTGACTCCAAACCTAACTCTCCAATCATTCAATTCGTGTTTTGTCATTCATGCTTTGCTTATGCTTCTGAATTTAAATGAAATTGTAGATTAGTTCGAGAATTAAATCTTTTACATGTTTGCATATTTTTAAATTATTTTAAATTATTTTGGCTTTTTTCCTTTTTTTAGAATTTAAATTTGATTTTCGTACTTTTTTACTTTTATATGTTTTGTTTAGAATATAAATTTTTAAATTTAAATTTCATCCTTGCAGCAAGGCACAAAGAATATTTAATTTAATTGTATTTAAATTAATTTTTTTAATTAAACTCAATTTATTCTTTTGAAACAATATATATATATAATATATATATATATATATATATATTACATTTTCAAATGTTTCACAATAAAAGAAATCCAAGAAAATATTATTACCCATTTCTGCATTGGAAGGCTGATAAACAAATTTGTACATATTAGAGATCCAGTCTGTATATTGCTTTGTATATTATGCTGCATTTTAGCATTCACAAGGAGATCATTTTCCTCTTTTCTGAACTCTATTTTTAGAAAAATTTTCCGTTGTAGTGTATGGTATTATTCAACATGCACCTTTCATTGCATATTTGAATTACAGTTGAATTTGATAGTGAAAAGTAGGGTAAAACCTTATTGTTAATTAATTATTTTATTTATGTTATACACACATCAAGACAACAGTGAGAATTTCACTAAGTTCAGTCAAAATTTAAGTATAATATAATTAAGTATAAGTTCAGTTAAGTATAAACAAACCTTGTTATGAAAGAATGAATTTTTTTTTTACTTGCTGCTCAGACAGGAAAGGAAAATAAGGGTGGCATATTCATCATCTGAATATACGACATTTGATGGCATAATTTTTAAATTTAAAAGTTGTACTTCAAGGGTTTGGAAAATGTTACTTTAATTCCATGCTATTTTATTCACTCATTTATGAAAAATGAAAATGGCACTAGTGCTCTGAACCTTTCATATAAAAGTTATACTCTAAAATGGTAACTTACCTGTAAACCTGGCTGTTCCCAAAACAAGGGTATGGAACCTCTAATCTGAATATATGAACAGATCATATTATTCAGTAGAAACTAAATGCGCATCTTATATTATAATATAGCACCGAAAAACTTCAGATTGTTTTGATTTCCACAATACATTTTTATCATGAATCATATTTTTTCAAAATGAAATTAAAAATTAATAATATGGACATTCACTTTTTAAAACATATAACATCTTAATATAAAATTACATTATTATCATGAACATATTTTCAAAATGAAATTAAAAATGTAAGGGACATCACTTTTAAACATATAACATCTTTATATATTACATTTATCAGAATAATATATTTTAAAATGAAATTATAAATAAATGATAGGATGTAGGATCCGGAATTTAAAAAATATGATATTAAAAGATCCTCAAAATTTAGCCACCAAGATATTGTGGCGATAAGAAATAGGGCGGGCCCATTACGAACTAATAGATGGTCTATTATTTTATACAAAAACTACGAATTCCAAAAAACGATTTCGACCTGTTATCCCAGCTAGTCTTAGATTAAATATCCTGCAGGAGTTCATGACAGCCCTTAGCTTCTCATGCTGGTATTCGAAAAACTCCAACGCGTACGCGAAGGCAGTTTATTTTCCTGAACTGCAAAAGTTAACAAGGGCGTATGTCCAGTCCTGCCCAACATGTCAAGCAGCTAATTTCTGCCCGCCCGGGTTTTAAAATAGCATTAGATCAGTTTCAAAGGAAATAATAGGCATCAATTTATTGTGCCCTTTCCCGAAGAGTCAGTTAAATAAAAGTCGGTATCTCCTTGTTATGGTTGACAATTTTAGTAAATGGACCGAAATTGTTCCTTTAAAACGAGCCTCTGCAAAATTAGTTACTGATTCTATTTGAAATAAATATCTTTTAAAATACGGGGTGCCCCTAAAAGTTATATCGGATCCTCAGTTTATAAGTAAAATTTTTTAAGACATGTGCCAAAAACTGGGCATACGTCATTTAAAAATCGTCCCATATCGGCCACAACCAAATATAGCGGAACGGGTCTATAGAAACATAGTTAAAATTATTCGTAGTTAAGTTAAAAATTTTCAAAAAGGCTGGGATAACTATGTCAACGAATTAGCTTTCGCCCTTAGGACCAATAAACATGACACAACGAGCAAAACTTCTGCTGAGTTATTTTTAGGCAGAAAGATTATAACGCCGTTAGATAAATTATTTTATGTTCAACAAAGAGCCCCAGAATTTAAATGGGCATATAGAAAAATTAATTAAAGAAGCAAAAAAAAAACTGGAAGTAGCACAAAAAAAAAAAAAACTGTACTATGATATGAAACGACGGGGAGTAACTTATAAGGTACGGGACGAAGTGTTAAAAATTAAGCATTCGCTTTCTTCAGCACCAGAAGATAAAATAGCCAAGTTCTATTCACGATTTGAAGGATAATATGTGATCGAAAAAGTAACCCAGGCTGTAGTGGTTTGAAAAGCCAAGAATGGTAACACATGTATGGCAAATATCGATAAAATCAAACCATTTTTCAATCGTAATAAAATGAAAATCTTCAAAGATCTTTTGCAGGATCTGGCACGGCAGACATAATCTCCAGAGGTGGCACAACGACAACCACAAGAGTCAACTACAAGTAGAGAGGTAAACAAGAAAAGAAAGTTCCCCCTTTGTAAAACTGAAGGTAACAAGAAAAAGAAGCCATTCTTCCAACCAGAAAAGAGAGGGCACGACCGCCCCCAACATAAAGAAGGTGAAAGTTCTGAAGGTAAAAGCATGAAATCTTCGGACAGATGGATAGGCTGCAGACAGAGAATAAGCGGCTATGGCCTTTACCAAAAAGCTTGGCACTGGTATTGAAGGCAGGCTATTTTTTAGTGAGCCGAATTAGCTGCAGGAATTGCATGATTTAATGCGAAGAGAGCCAGGAGAAATGGCCGCAACCATAACACAGCTCAAAAACGGAAGAGTGAACCATCGGATAGAATTCTACGCAGCAAATGTCCGCGAATCGAATTACATTTTTATCATGAATCATATATTTTCAAAAT